TATCTCATGAGTGTGTATCTTGTGTGTGTATCTCATGTGTATATCTCATGTGTATGTCTCATGTTTGTATCTCATTATATATCTCATGTGTATGTCTCATGTGTGTGTCTCATGTGTGTATCCCATGTGTGTGTCTCATGTGTATATCTCATGTGTGTGTCTCATGTGTATATCTCATGTGTGTCTCATGTGTGTATCTCATGTGTATGTGTCATGTGTCTCTCATGTGTGTATCTCGTGTGTATCTCATGTGTATGACTCATGTGTGTATCTCATGTGTATATCTCATGTGTATGTCTCATGTTTGTATCTCATTATATATCTCATGTGTATGTCTCATGTGTGTGTCTCATGTGTGTATCTCATGTGTGTGTCTCATGTGTATATCTCATGTGTGTGTCTCATGTGTATATCTCATGTGTGTCTCATGTGTGTATCTCATGTGTATGTGTCATGTGTCTCTCATGTGTGTATCTCGTGTGTATCTCATGTGTATGACTCATGTGTGTATCTCATGTGTATATCTCATGTGTGTGTATCTGATGTGTATATCTCATATGTGTGTATCTCATTTGTGTGTATCTCATGTGTGTATCTCATATGTGTTTATCTCGTGTGTATCTCATGTGTGTGCATCTTGTGTGTGTATCTCGTGTGTGTATCTCATGTGTTTGTATTTCGTGTGTATATCTCATGTGTGTGTCTCATGTGTGTATCTCATGTGTTTCTCATGTGTATATCTCATGTGTGTGTCTCATGTGTGTATACAGTATCTCGTGTATATCTCATGAGTGTGTATCTCATGTATATCTCATGTGTATGTCTCATGTGTGTATCTCATGTGTATATCTCATGTGTGTATCTCATGTGTATATCTCATGTGTGTATCTCATATGTATATCACATGTGTGTCTCATGTGTATATCTCATGTGTATATCTCATGTGTGTATCTCATGTGTATATCTCATGTGTGTATCTCATGTATATCTCATGTGTGTGTCTCATGTGTATTTCCCATGCATATCTCATGTGTGTGTCTCATGTGTATATCTCATGTATATCTCATGTGTATGTCTCATGTGTGTATCTCATGTGTATATCTCATGTGTGTATCTCATGTGTGTATCTCATATGTATATCACATGTGTGTCTCATGTGTATATCTCATGTGTATATCTCATGTGTGTATCTCATGTGTATATCTCA